TGCACCGACACAAGCTGGGCGAAGTAAGGAGTGGCCCAGGCGCGGGCGTCTCCATCGAGCAGGCTAAGCGCGACCTGCACCTTGAGTTCGATGGTGGTCAACGACGTGTTGATCAACCAGTAGATGCGCAGCTGCGACAGGAACCGGTTGCACTCGATGACGGTCTTGCCATCGTAGCGGAGCGGGAGGAGGAGCTTCAACGTCTCCTTATCAGGGACGGCAGCGGGAGAGGACATTATCGGCGACGAGGGGGACGAAGGACTGCCCGCGGACGAAGGCGACTGTTATGACTGTCCGCCGGGCGGACTTCTCGGGGAACGAGTGCTTGAGCGGCCTCGCGGCGGCGACGGCGGTGAAGGCGGTTGAGGAAGCCCGGAGGCGGGGTTACGTAGGACAGGGACTGGAGTCGAGGCGGTGACCGCTGACGACGAGCTGGCCCAAGAATGCAGCGGAGTGTCGCGGGGCTCAGTCTTGGGAGGCCTTTCCAGCCGCGGCCCCAGGGAGGGCTGGGGGATCACTTGAGGGGTCACTGAAGGCTGTGCAACTGCCTCAGTTCCTCGAGGGAGATGGGGATCTCCTCGCGCTTGACCTGTACTGGCGACAGGTTGGGGGATGCGGGTGCCTGGCGAGGCAGGTCGGGATGGGACGGGAGTGACGTGGCGAGATGTAGATCTCGAGGTGCCAGCGTAACGGAGGGAAGGGCCACTGGGGTGTTGGATTCGTCGGATTGGCACGAAGTGTCCTTCGTCAACAGTGATGGACCGTGGGGTGCGATTAGGGCACGGTTGCCGATCACAGATGAAGAAGGGAGCTCTGTCTCCGTTGCTTTCTGGGTCGTCGCGAGAGACGTCGACCTGCTCCTGGGTGTCGAAGGCGTGCTCAAGTCGAGAGCAGTCGAAGAATTCGTCAGCCACGTTGATGGGGGGAGGAAGGGGAGGTGCGCGTGCTACGAAAGGCCGTGCTAGCTAGCTTACACCTACGGCGCCTGAGGTAACACTAGGGTTCGCAGTTCACGTGGGGCCCAGTACTGCTTTTGACTATTATGCAGCAGGAACCAAGGCTACGCGTCCGTGAGGACAAGTACCACTCACTGAAGCGCAGGTACTGAAGAGTTCGTCCCCTAAGCGGTGGCGATGTATAGTACGCTATCTAGATATCGTAGGGTACAGTAGGGGTGCGCACCACCCAACCTATAGGAAGTGAATGTAAGTGTGTGGGTCCCGATGGAACGCCGGCAGCTGTGGGGAGTTTCGACCTAATGTCGCGACTTGAGGTCGAGCGACAGAGGAAAACTTGAGCTGGGGGTGTTCGACTGGTTCTTACCGAAGCGATGGTGAGCAACGCTCAAACCTAAGGCTAGGGACAAGAAAGTGTATTAGTTAGTGTAAGGTAAGTAAGAGAATACAGGAGCTTACTGACCTAGGGACAAGAGGTTGAAACTGAGATCCCTAGGGCAGCAGAGGCCGGCTTATATACATGGGGAGATTAGGGCAGGCTGTGCGTGTTGGTCCGTGCGCAGCTGGTCCATGCGCAGCATGCCAACGCGGCCCCAGGGGCCGGTGAGTCAGAGCAGCTGTGTCAGCGGAGCCCGAGCTGTGCCGCGTACTGCCGCCCCATCTAATCTAATCGTACAGTAGATAGCGACGCGTCCATATCGGGCATGTAGTACAGAGGTCACGGGTTCGAGCCCGCGAAAAGGAAAAAATTAAAAAACGGCTAGACGCCATACCAACTCGTGACACTTTCATGCGCTCGGCTGACAACTCAAGCGCAGAGCGCATGTCGTCGCGAATCTCCTTCAGGATTTTGAGCCGATCAGTGGCCGCAGGCATTGCAGACATCGGATTGATCCGAACCTGGATCTCAGGATTGTACCCCTGATGCAGGAAGAAAGGGGAGTGCCCGGTCGCGGAGTGAGCTTGATTGTTCAATGCGAATTCCGCGAGTGGCAACTGCTTTGCCCAATTGTCCTGCCTGTGGCTTGTGAAAGCACGCAGGTACTGTTCGATCTCCTGATTCCAGCGCTCAGTCTGGCCATCTGTTTGAGGATGGAACACTGTAGATAGTGCCGGCTCAATTCCCAGTCCCTTGTACACCGCATGGAGATACTTCGAAGCGAACTGGGGACCTCGGTCTGATATGACCTTGGCCGGGGCCCCATGATGCTTGAACACATCGCGGATGTACAGATCTGCTGCACCTTCTGCCGTCAGGGTCTCATGACAGGCCGAGAAGTGGACCTGCTTGGTAAAGCGGTCGGCGGTGACCAGGATCGAGTCGAATCCATCAGACTTCGGCAAGCCAACGATCATATCAGTCGTGATGATCTGCCATGGGCGCTCGGGGATCTCATTCGGCTTCAGCGGACCCTGGGGTTTGGCTGGGAATGTCTTGGTACTGTTGCACATGTCGCAGGTGCTCACGTACTCATTGACAAACTTGGACATCCCAGGCCACCAGTAATTCCGCGACACGAGCTCCAGGGTTTTGGCACAGCCGCCATGACCGGCAATCGGCAAGTCGTGGTGGATCTTGACTATATCCCGCCGGAGCTCCGCGTTCTTTGGGACGTACACGCACCCGCGGAACAACAGAAGCCCTTGCTCGGCATTCCACTCCTCAAAACCCCTTTGCAGCCGGGGCGGCCCGAGGTCCTGTACCTTTTCAAGGGCCTCGGCCACCTCCCGATCCTTCTCCGAACATTCCCTGATGCGCTTCAGAAGCGACTGATCAGCCGTCACGGAGGCATGACCACGCTGGGCGGAGGCTATGCGGAAGCGCTCTGGCTTGAGAACCACCTGATCGGTGTTGTCGTCCTCATCGCCGACCTGATGGTCTGATCGACGTGACAGGGCATCAGCCTTTCCATTGGACGTCCCGGCCTTGTGCGTGATGCGGAAGTCGAAGCGAGCTAGGAATAGCGACCATCGCGCCTGACGGCGCGTGAGATGCTGGGATGTACGCCAGTACTCGAGGTTCTTATGATCGGTGACGATCTCGAACTGGTTGGGTAGTCCCTCG